GGAGAAGGAGAAGGAGAAGGAGAAGGAGAAGGAGAAGGAGAAGGAGAAGGAGAAGGAGAAGAACAAGAGGAAGAAGGGGAGGAGGAGGAGGAGGAGGGAAGGAGGGGGAGGAGGAGGGGGAGGGAGAGGGGCTACTTTTTCACCTACTTCCTCTCTTCAGTCATTCAGAAAAGTTATATAGTAAGAGGAAGGGAAAATCTCCTATTTCGTTGTAGGTCAGGAGATGAGAACAGAGGTGATGTTGAAAATATGTAACCACTGGAATGGCATGGGCATGGATCACGCAGAAGAGATGCTAGCCATAAGCTGATGTGACTTCACCAGTGAGCACTGCCCCAGTGTGTTTTGGATGAGAGCCTTTTAGACACCAAGAACAGACCCAGGAGCTATGGTCTGGTTGATAGACCTTCCTCCTAGTTATCTGAGTGCCTATATTTCAGTCTTGCTCCAGCTGATACCTGAGCCTCTGGCTTGCCCCAATGATTATTTTCCTCAGTGAGTACAGGGAAGGCTTGTCATCACCACACAATCTGCTCTCCCTTTCTTCTATGATACAGGAGTAACAGGAGTTGAAATCCAGTCACTCAGCCGAAGATTCCATTTCCTATCCTCTCTTGCAGTTGTGCATTGCTGTGTGACTAGGTCAGCACCTATGGGATGTGAGCCAATGTCATGACGTTAGAAGTGGGGGAAGATGTTTTCCTCTTGCCTAGTTCTGCCATCTGCTTGGCTGGAATGTGGAAATGGCAGGGAAAGTTGAGATAGCCATCTTGTCCACGGGAAGGAATCCAAATGTTGAGAACCACAGAGCAACTACGGAAGGAACTTTGTTGTCTGAAGATTGTAGAGCTATGATATGCCTCTCTACACCTAAATACCATCATTAGAGCAGCAACTGCTTAACTCTCCTTAAGTGCAGCAAGGGAACCTCAGCATATAAACTCTATACAAATTAGGACACACATACCGTACTCTCTTCGGCAAAGATGAACTTTAATGAGTGCACAAATCACCTGACAGTCTTGTTAAAATGCAGTCTGTTTCAGTGGGTCTGGGCTGAGGCCTGATATTCAGCATTTCTCACGAGCTGTGATGCCAGTGACGCTAGTTGGGCCATACCCTGAGTATCAAGGACCTAAAGCAATGAATTGAGTTTGAGACGAGCCTGGTGAATATAGCTAGATCCCGTCTCCAAAACTAAAAAAGAAAATTAGACAGCTGGCAGGGCGCACATATAGTCCCAGCTACTTGGGTGGCTGAGGCAGGAGGATGCTTGAGCCCAGGAGGCCGAGGCTGCAGTGAGCTATGATTATACCACTGCACTCCAGCCTAGTGACAGGGTGAGACCCTGCCTCAAAAAATAAAAAGATAAAGCAAAACAGCGAACCTGGCTTCTAGGAGGGTCCTACTGTCACTCCACTTAGGTCTACAGATCTTCCTGGGTCCGTGAACCTGAGTGTCTTCCCCTCCTTCCCTCCACCTACCAAAGATCTGTCAAAGACGACTGTCCCTTCTGGGTGGTTTCCGGTCTCCCTTTATGGGCTTCTGCATGATACTGCGGACTCAGCGTCTGTCTGGGGTCTAAGGCCAGGCTCTTAAGCAAAGTTAAAGGTGTACCGAACAGTATGCAGTTGTGGAGCTGGGCAGGTACATATCAAAGAAGTTATTCCTGGGCTACTGCCTTTCCAAAGACCTCCTTCTCAGCCCTCACCAGGCCATTGTGTTTAAACTGCAATCACGCCCTGACAATTGTCTGCTGTATCTCCCCCAACACCTTCACCTTAGCGAGCTTGTAAACATCCAACATGCCATGCATTACACGCGTTAGTTTTGTTTATTTGCTGTCTCCTCCCACTGGAATTTAAGCTACCTCTGCATGGAGTGAATGAATGGCAGCCAGGTGAAGCTCAGTAAATGTAAAAACAGGATATCAGCAGGTCAGCAGGCACGTGGCCCACATTGTCAACATCAGCTGGGGGCAGGGATCAGAGATAGAACAGCATCTTTCTGCAGCCCTCAGACACCTCAAATAATATAGCAATCTTTTTTTTTTTTTTAACAACTGGTAATCAATTTATTTAAATAGCTGACTTAAGCATCTGTAATGGTGACTTCCACCTCAACTCCTGGCTCAATGCTGATGAAAGTAATCTGCTAAACAATCTCAGAAGGACTATGCAAGTCAATGAGTCGCCTGTGGATTCTCATCTGGAAATGATCCCATGTCTTAGAACCTTCACCACAAGGTGTTTTTCTTGTGATTCTCAAAGTCTTGGTGGGCATCCGAACGGGTCCTTTCACTTTAAGATTCTTTTCCTTTGCTCCTCTGATCAAGTCAGCACACACCTTCTCCAGGGATTTTACGTTGCAGTTCATTAGAGTGATTTGAATTCAGTGAATTGCCACCTCCGGCTCCATGGGTGTTTTTCCTCCTGTATCCTTAAAAGCCATAGCTGCTGCGCGGCTTCCTGACCGACTTGTTCCTCCCCAAGAGCGAACAGCAGTGAATCAGGAGCAGGAGCATGCGAACCCACAATCTGCAACAGCTACGACCGTGTCTTCCTGAGAGAGTACAGCGATCTTATGTACAAGACTAGTTCTAAAAACTCCTGTTCCGATCCTCCTACCACTTCCAGAATCCTCAGTTATGGAGAGCTCACTTACCACAGACAGACAGCCTCCTCCCGGCAACTCTGTAGGGCGGATATCATCAGGCCCATTCCATAGATGAAGAAACCGAGGCTTTGAGAATGTGGATATTTATCCAAGAAGAGTGCAGAACTAAATCCAATTCTATTTAGTGTCAAAGATATGAGGGTTTGATGTGGGAGGCCCTCGAGCTGCAGGTCAAATAACTTCCGTGTTTGGAAGGAAAGGCTGGAGAGGCTGCAGACCAGGTGATGCGTACATCTTCCTGGAATCTCCACCCCAGGGATCCCTTCTCTGATGCTTGGCCTTAGGACCCTCTTCCAAGCAACTCCTCTGGGACCCTGCCAGCTGACCTGACCTGTGTTTTGGCTGCTCTTCCTTGTGTGAAACGTATTATTCTAATGATGTCCACTCTCCTCCCCCTTCAACTCTTAGCAAGTCTGTCTTCCAGCAAGGGCCGTCTGCTGGGCTCATCAGATAGTCCCCTCTCCTTGTATCATCCCGGAGTGGGGCTCAGCATAGAGTGTGGCTGTGACAGCAAAAAAAAAGCATAGATGAAGAGGACCCATTCTGCCCCACCACTCTCCATGCTTCCCAATACATTAGGGAATACCCCTTAAGCCATAATTGCCGCTGGTATCAGTAAACATTTTAACAGGCAAAAGCATGGCCACTGCACTTCTAAGGGAAGCCGAGTCTGTAAATGAAGAGAATTCTGTTGATACCCACTTTCATCCAGTTCCACAAAAGAGCATTCATGGAGTGCGTGTCTGCTCCGGGGCTCCACCTCTGTGGGTGTAGGGGGTGGGAGGAGGGAGTCCTGAAAGCTGAGGAAACGATTTCTGGATTCAGCTTCACTCCCTGCCCCCAAGCTGTTAGCAAATCTTGTACAGGTCCTTAAACAGAATTCCGCACCTGCGACCTGAACCTCCCGACCAGTAAGTGCTCTGCCTCCATTATTAAAGTGTCCCTGCAATTACAGTGACAGGTGGAGAGTGCCTCAGAGGCAACCTGGCTCTCCCTCTTCCTGGGAGTGACACATAATCATGCCCTGCATTTAGAGAGTGCCCTTATCTGAGGAACGCCAATGGCCTTCTTGACATAATCTCATTCATTCTTTCAACAGCCTTATGAGGCCGACTAGGGACAGGTATTCTTTGCTAACCCTGTCTGCCCCATTTCTAGAGGACAGAAGTGAGGCCCCAAGAAATTAAAGTCAAAATGAGACCATGAGCAAGTGAGTAATAAAATCTAGGTCTCCTGACCCCCATCTCAAAAGCCTCCGTTCCTCCTTTGCTGACAGCCTGTACACAAGTGGGGATGTTTGTGTTTCTACACAAGGACTTTAAGAAAAGGTTAGCTTTGTGAATCTGTGCTTCTCTGAGTAGGACAAGGTTAGCCAGCCTAAGTAGAAAGAGAATTCAGGGTTTAAAATAAGTGAGAAGCAAAGAGAAGATGGAGATCAGGCAGAAAGGGGAGGTGGGAGACCCCCAAAGCTCAGAATGGGGTCTCGGTAGATGGCAACAGCTGAAGGCATAAGTGTGTGCTTTTATAGGGCGTGGAACACCATGCACGATTTCCATGATTCATACACAAAGACTGATACCTTATTTAATCTTCAGGGTTCGTTGGTTTTTAGAATATTCAAACATAAGCAGATGGCCACGGGTTATGGTTCTGCTCACTCAGCTATGGCTGCTCAGGTGTCCAGGTTGTTGATAAATAAGGAATAGGACATGGCATTGAAAAGAACATTGAGATTGATAACAGCTAACATGTATTGATCACATGCGTAGCTACTCACCTGTTTTATCATTTTCGATCCTCCCAACAACCTTATGAGGTTGTACTGTTATCTCAGTTTATGTTAGAGAAAACTGAAGCTCAAAGAATATGGCTGATGAGCCTAATAGACTCAGCCTGACAATATTCATTTAAATGCTTCTACAAGGAAAGACTGCAGATTGGTACAGCAGAAAGTTTCCTAATAGTCACTGGAATTTTTGATTTCCAAGAAATCAAGTGAAATGATTAGTAGTCAATATTGGGAAGCATACCTCACTTTAAATAATGTAGTGACAGTTTCCTATTAGAGAAGCATCAACTTGAAAACAATCACTCTAATGAAAAAGTCAAACATTTAGGTAAGTTCTGTGGAGGTCTAGTATAAGTTGATTTTCCTTTAGTCTCTTGGAAAATAAGCTTTAAACCAAATGACGCAAATAGTATTTTAGAAAGAAATTTGCAGTAGCTAGACTATAAGCCTGTTAACAAATGTTTGTTTGATACCTCCCAGGACAGGTACTCACCTTTCCCTTGCTCTGTACCTGGAAGTTGGTACAGCTGCAAAGGCCTTCCAGGCAGGCTATTTGAGAGAGTGGGCAGACCATTAGATTAAGAGTCAGGTGGCTGGGCATGGTGGCTCATTTCTGTAATCTCAGCGCTTTGGGAGGCCAAGGTGGACAGCACTTGAGGCCAGAAGTTCAAGACCAGCCTGGCCAACATGGTGAAATCCTGTCTCTACTAAAAATACTAAAATTAGCTGGGCTTGGTGGTGCATGCCTGTAATCCCAGCTGCTTGGGAGGATGAGGCATGAGACTAGCTTCAACCTTGAGGTGGATGTTACAGTGAGCCAAGATTGCACCACTGCATTCCAGCCTGGGTGACAGAGAGAGACCCTGTCTCAAAAGAAAGAAAGAAAGAAAGAGAGAAAGAGAGAAAGAGAGAGAGAAAGAGAGAAAGAAAGAAAGAGAGAGAGAAAGAGAGAAAGAAAGAAAGAAAGAAAGAAAGAAAGAAAGAAAGAAAGAAAGAAAGAAAAAGTTAGGAGGCCTTGGGCAAAACACTTTTGCTTCTGTGGACCTCAGTTCTTTAGCTATATAATGGGGATTCTGATAACCTGTTAGTGCATAACTCCAGGAACTTGCTCTGGAGCTCAGAAAACTTTGCTACTGCTAAACCTCAAATGAAGGAGGGATGCCTCGTTCATACACCACCTTTCTAGTGCTTCCACTCCATAAAGATCACAGGGTCCCTCTGCTGCTTTACTTCCCATTAATAAGGCCAGACACTGCCCCAACCCCAAAATAGACTTGTTCAATGTCATATTCCCATGACAAATGTATCATCAGTGCTTAGCACAAAGCAGCTATTCAATAAATACTTGTAAAGAAAAAACTGAATGAACATTTTGTGAAAGAATAAATGAACGCGGGGACATCTTTGGGAAGTCAAGGAAGAAAGATACCTTTGATTACAAAGAATCCAAAGCTTTTCCTCAAGATATTCACAAATCTTTTAAAATTTGATTTAACTTAGAAGGTAAAGGTAAATTAAAAGATATGGAATACAAACAGCAAAGGAGAATATGAAAAAGTTGTTTAATCTTTAGCAATCAGGAAACCATAAATTAAAACAGTAACAAAATATTATTTTATTAAACTAGGGGGAAAAATTCAATAAGGGAGGAGATGCTATTGACAGATACGTAATTTGATAAAGACCATGGAGGACAATTTGATGTTTCTCTCAAAAGTAAATGTGAATACCATTTAGTTCCTCTTCTGGCATCTATTCTAGAAAAACACTTACTTTGTACTCAGAGATGTATATAAAAGATGTTCATTACAGCATTCTACTTAATAGTGAAAAACTGGGAACAACTTAAATGTCCAATAGGGGATGCATTCATCAGAATATACTAGATTATTCTATAGTAAAAAAATTAAAAATCAGTGGCTTAACAAAGCAAAGTGTAAGTTCTTACTTTCTACCAGGTCTTCTCTGAATCTAGACAATTCCTAGGGCAATGTCTGTTCATGCCAAGATTCAGCAATCCAGGTTCTCTTGATCTTGTGGCTTTATCATCTCAATAGGAGGCCTTCCTTACTGTGGCAGGGAATAGAGGGCTAGAAGGTCTTACACCTGCAGTGAAATATTGGAACCCAAAAGTGATACAAGTCCCTTCTTCTCTCAACCCACTGGCCAGAGTTAGTCATGTGGCTCCAAATAGCTGCAATACAACAAAAAGTAGAATTTCTTTTATGTGTCCAAGGAAAGAAGAGCTGGGTATAAGTGAGCACTAGAAGTCTCACCCCAAGAAAAGATTAAATGGTATATCCATGCTATGGAATACTACACAGCTGTTTAAAAGCTGTATAGGTAGGTAGATCTATGTTTAGTGATTTTTTTAAAAAGGTCTAAGACTTTAATAAGCGAATGTCTTAAGCAACTTGATCTCGCTTATATTAAAAATATGTTTGTATATATTTATATGTGTGCAAATGAATAGCAAAAGATTTGTCTAGAATGATACAGTCTAACAGTGGTTATCTCTGAGGAAGGAGTTGATTGGAGAAAGACTCAGATGAAGGGGACTTTCAAGTTTCCCTGTGTATTCTTCTACATTGTTTACCTCTTTTAAAATGAAGCTGTATTCACATATTTATCATGAATTTAAATTGGTTTTACATTTGTAAAAAGTAAGTAAACACATCTTGGAACCTGTCTCCTCTAGCAGTTCTTTAACAGTCTTTGAGGTTGTTTTTTTTTTTTTTTTTCCATTAATGCCAATATATAAATTTTAGCAAATTAGTTGCCTGTATTTTGTTGTCATAGCCAGAGGCACTTAGTCACAGGAAGGACTTAGAATATATCACTATCTTCAGTCTATACCCTGGAGACAGAATCCGACTCCAAACTCTTGGCACATGTCTGCTGGGGAGTGTGCTCAGTCAGAAGCAATACTTATGAGTGGTGACAGAAGCCAGTATGGGCACGGAGAGAGACTGAACTGTCACACAGTTACAATGGAGGCCTTGGTTGACGGGACTGACCTTCAGTATTGCTCTGCCTTGAGGCAACCGCCCCATCCTCACCCAACAGCTCTTACTTAACTGAGGCTGCCCGAGGGTGCAGGTGTGACAGTGACCAAGGATGTCCCAGAGAGGGCTAAGCTGGGCGCACTTCAGCCACCAACACATACAACAACTGGGGCAATAAGAGTCTCGGCTTAAAGTGGGGATCTGGACTGTTCTTCACTAAGGATCCCACTATCATCACATCCCCAACTTCACCAGAGAGTGATAGTTCAGTGGTATAGCAAAAGCCCAACTTGGGGAGCAGAAAACTAGGCCTCACCTAGCTTAGATATAGCATACCTTTAGCGAGTTTTTGTTGAATGAACAAATGAATGGTGCCAGCCTTGGGCCAGGCTCACAGAAGCCTGAGGAGCCCGTGAGAGTGGTTCAGGGTGTAGGATCCCTAAAGCAGAGTCTCCATACATTGCAGAAACAAATTCAGGTGAGTCTGGGCCTCAGACTGTCTAGGCCTCACCCTGTTGGTTTCCATGATTCTCACAGGCTTGGAAGGAGGGAACACAGGGAGGTCGCAGGAGGCTGATAACCCAGCCTGTGGATCGTCCAGGCTTTCTCCTCCTCCCCTTCCTTCCATCTGCCCCATCTGATCATTTCTCTGCTCCTCAGCACTTTTTTCTAAGGGCATCCATGGGAAGAAGAAGGAGATGATAAAGCTCTAGATAGATGCTGTGCCACTGGAGGGTAGTGGTGTAAGTCACCACTCAGGGCCAAGATTCTGCATTTCTTTTTCTTTTTCTTTTCTTTCTTTTTTTTTTTTTTTTTTTTTTTTGTCGAGCTTGCGTTTTTTTATCCAGGCTGGAGTGCAATGGCGCGATCTCGGCTCACCGCAACCTCCGCCTCCTGGGTTCAGGCAATTCTCCTGCCTCAGCCTCCTGAGTAGCTGGGATTACAGGCACCCCATGCCTGTAATGGCACCCCGCGCCACCATGCCCAGCTAATGTTTTGTATTTTTAGTAGAGGAGAGGTTTCACCATGTTGACCAGGATGGTCTCGATTTCTTCACCTCGTGATCCACCCGCCTCAGCATCCCAAAGTGCTGGGATTACAGGCTTGAGCCACCGCGCCCGGCAGATTCTGCATTTCTAACAAGCTCCCAGATGATGGATGATTCCCATGACGCAGGTCCAGGGACTACACTTTGAGTAGCTGAGGCCTTAGAGATAGAGATGACAGATATGGGTCACTGACTTAAGAGTCAAAATTATATATCCCATCACCACGTGACCCCTAACAGTTTACTGTGCTAAGTGCTTTGAACACTTTTTCTCATTTAATTTTTAAAGAGCACTCAAAATACCTATTATTGCCATCCCCATTTTACAGAAGGAAGAACTGAGACCAGGGATTGTTAGTGACCAGTTAGTTAGCATGTGGTGAAACGGACCGCAGCGCAAGTCCGTCCGAGTCCTGGTCCTGAGTTCTTCACCACTTCACGGGAGAGAGAGCGTAGCTTTGGCACTGTCTCTTCTGTGATTGTGTCTTCTTGGAGAGACCTCGGCTCGGCCCCAGCTTGCTGAGAAGAGAAAGCCACTGGAGTCTTTGTGTCGCCTTCAGAGAGGGAGATGACGCCGGCTCGCGGAAAAGCTAATAGTAGATCAAGCAGCCTGTGCTCATAGCTGCTTTCCTGGCTTCGGGCAGCATCTTCCAGCTGGAGGAAGGGATCCACGCTGAGCCACCAAGGCGGCTCCTGGCCGCAAGTCCCCGGCTGGAGGGGCGGCCACTGAGCGGTCACTAAGGGCGCAGCGCGGTGCGGGGCGTGGCAACGCCGCCTCCGCCACGCCCACGTCCCCAGCTCAGCTGCACGCTCCTTGCACACAGGGTCTCTGCGCTGAGCTCAGCTGAGAGATTGCTTAGCTCAGCTTTGAAATCCAACCTAAATTCTCCCCCTGGGCCTGCAGACACTCTGGCCAGATGCTCTTCCCCAACCAGAGCTGGGTAATAGGAGGTGACAGACTGAGAGCGGGGACTTGGGGGCGTGGCTGAGCGGCTGACAGCTAAGAGTTCCTCTTCCCAAAGGCTGACGCTGAAGGCTGAAGGCCGGAGCTGTGTTCCTGCGCTTCTAGAGGGGCACAGCCGCAGGATGGGGGTTCAGAGATACACCCTGGGGGATCATAATTTCATCTCTTTTTCTGGCCTTAATATTCCAGCGTCTTCACATGCGGGGAGTTTATTTGCTGTGGGTAGCTCCTACTCCCTGGAGGGGGAAAAGGGTCCCACCTGCATCCTCAGAGTCCACTGCCGCAAACCCTGACAAAGTTATGGCAAATTTCTTAAGGTGGAAGACAAATTGAGGTAATACTGGTGACTAAATAAATAAATAAAAGTACATATTTCCCAGACAAAATGTTTTCCATTTAGCCCCCACCCCTCCCCTACCCCATATAGCACCTTGTGAAAATCAGCAAAAGTGTCCCTTTTGGGACAAGGCAGCAAATGGGGACAGGACAGGCAAGTGGGAGGGCACAGCCAGTCACAGGGGTCCTGGCT